CCTGAAGCTAGTCCAGTCCAAGATAGTCTGGTGCAACAAATGCACCCTTACAGTAAAGAAAAATACCGATAAACTGTAGTATAAAGTAGGGTTGGTTCGGTATGGGATCCTAAATCCCAAACCGATTTTTTTCGGGACAGAGTTTTGAAAACCAAAACCGAATTGAAATGAAGGTATTCCCGAATTTCGGGATTCTCGAAATTTTTTCTGGATTTCAGTATGGTTCGGGATTCATCGACCTCCCACCTTCCCTACCAGCCCACACGGCCACACCTCATCTTAGATTCGTCGACCTTCCCACCCCCATCTCTATCCCTCTCATTCCTGGGCTTGTCTTTGCTGTCTTCGGGAGTCGGAGGGCTTTGCGAAGTGCATCAAACAGAATCAGGTATCGACCATCGTCGATGTGTGAGCTTTTCCATGTCTTGCCAAACGAAATCGCCATCAGAGGGCTACTCTACTTTGCAAGCTTGAGCGATGGATCTGATGTCTTGGAAGAACGATTGGGTTTCTCAGACGAATGCTGCAATGGGTATGGCATTTTGGGAAGAGCAGGCTGCGGGTGTGGCTGCTTTTGAAGATTGAGAAAGCATTTGGAGGCCTTGAGCTTGCTTCTGCATTTGAGGGAGTCGGTGGAGGGAAGGAGAAAGAGTGTGGCTGTCTGTTGGATGAGAGTGCGACTTATCAAGAAATAAAATAAAGAAGAAAGGTTAGTGAAGATGATAGACAATAAGTCATGAGATAAAGAAAGAATAAAAAAAGAAAAAGGCAGTGAAGAAAGGTTATCGGGCAAAGGAATGGTTGATTAAAGTTATCGGGCAGAGGAATGGTTGATTAAATAATATATATGTATATATCGGTTTGGATCCCAAAGGTTATTGGGCAAAGGAATGGTTAATTAAATAATATATATGTATATCGGTTTGGATTCCCAAATGTTATTGGGCAAAGGAATGGTTAATTATATAATATATATGTGTGTGGATATATATATATATATATCGGTTTGGAATTCCTGAACAAAAAAAAAAAAAAATGAGATCAATTCTCGTACCGAACGGTTCGGGATCGATTTGAGATTGGTATCAAAATTTTCAGGATTTTCGGGATTTTTTTTCCAGCTCACGACTTAAACACACTAAAGGATATCGAATATTCGAAATCCAGAAAAACCGAAAACAAATAAGTTTGGAAAAAAAAAAAAAAACTGAAAAATAACGCAACGTTGCCTTTATGATTACGTCGGGAGAATAAAATCAACGGAAAAAGAAAAGCGACTTGGGTTTTCGCCATTTCAATTTTCTTCTTCTGATTTGGGGATGAATTGAGTTTTCGCCATTTCGTATCCAGTTCCACATCCTTACAGTTTCGATCGAGAGAGAAGGAATGGGAGTGCTGTCGAACAAGATCCAGAGGGATCTTCTGAAACCTGGAGATCACATCTATTCATGGCGCCACGCCTACCTCTATTCCCACCACGGTTCTCCTTTTCTCCTTTCCCTTCTTTTAATTATTTTAATTTTTATGTGTTTATTCATTTATTTGCATATCAGGAATTGTTTGTTGATGCTTTTCTGCTTTTTGTTTCTGGGTGTGTTTTTCCTTCACTGAAGTATCAAAAGATTGGATTTTTATTGCTAGTTTTCTGAATCCACAGTTCACTAGCCTACTAGTATTATCTGAAAATTTCAATCATTTCTACTACTTTTTGTTGTTGTTAATTAATGAGATCGTATAATTTGCGGAAAGTGTTGTGTGCGTGTGGACAAGTCTTAGATCCTGCTTGTATTTTCTTTTTGTGTTGTGTGCGTGTGGACATGGCTGCAGGTGGCAATGGGTTGCTGTTTATATATATTTTTATGTGAATGTTGCTAGTAAGTATTGTTCAAGTAGGGGTATTGGTTTAAATTCAGCTTAAGTGGAAGAGGAAAATTCGAATAGCAAGTCAGGCGAAATGAAAGACATAAAAAAATTAATGATTCTTTAACCTTGAGGAAGTTAATTTTTGTTATCAGACTGAAATGGTAGACAACATTGAGTTTACAGTCAAGCAATTTGCACGGTTAGTCACTGGATCAGCATATTCAGCACTACTTAGAAATTGTGATTAGAAGAATGTCGACTGAATAATTTTTCTTTAACTTTGAAGGAGTTATTTTGGTTATTGGTGACCGCAATGAGTTTACAGTAGAGCAATTTGTGTAGTTATTCAATTGTCTGTGGATCATCGGCTTTTACTGATTATGAAATCCCTAGTTCTAATCGTTGATTGATTGCACTGCTGGTATGAGTCGTGATTAAAAGAATGTTATTGATCAATGTGGACATACGGTATGCATTATTTTTTTTTTGGGTCAGTCTCCCCCCGGCACACACTTATACACAAGAATACTCTGGGGTTGGACTGTTGGAATATGATTCCATTATTTAGATTGATGGGGCGAGTTAGGAGAATTGAGTGGTTTTGTTGAAGTTATATATTCCATTTGGAGCATGTACTGAAGGAGTCCTCACATCTTAGTTCTCTACCTATGTGTATATGGTTTTGATGATTTTTTTGAAAACTTACGCAGTTTAGTTTTCTTTCATCCATAGTTTTTCTTCTTTGTACTTCCATCAGTTTTTGTTATTGTACGAGGACAACTTTTGTTTATTTTACTTTTAAATCCTGCATTTAATTCACCATGGAAAACATGGCATTGCTGATCGTTTATCTGTTATGTGATCTCAGGGATATACTTTGGTGAAGGAAAGGTTATTCACTTCACTCGAGGAGCTGGCCAGGAAACTGGCACCGGAACTGTGTTAGACCGCTTCCTTCTAAGCAGCTCTCCATCCCATTCTTCGGACAATCCCTGCCCAAACTGCGGAGACCAATCGACACTTGATGGTGTCATCTCTTCTTGCATAGATTGTTTTCTATCAGGCGGTTATCTTTACCTCTTTGAATATGGTGTCAATCCAGCTTTCTTTATTGCCAAAGCTAGAGGGGGCACCTGTACCCTTGCCCGGTCTGACCCACCCGAAGATGTCCTTCATCGCGCTTCTTTCCTTCTGCAGAATGGTTTTGGTAGTTATGACATTTTCAAAAACAACTGCGAAGACTTTGCTATATATTGCAAAACAGGTTTGCTCGTGTTCACTAGCATTAGTGTGGGCAGGAGTGGACAGGCAGCCTCCATTGTAGCTGCCGCAACAGCTGTTGTTTCTTCACCGCTTCGCTTTTTGACTACCAGTTTTACTGGTCTGGGTGTTGTAGGCTGTGGCATGTATTGCATTAGTAGAATTGTTTCTGATATCGGAATACGCCGAGATGTTAAGAAAGTACCGGTGGAGAGACTGATTACCCCCTGTGCCCTAGACGAGTCAGTGGTTGCAACTGAAGTGCTCAAGAAAGAATAATTTGTGTGCATAAACCGAATTCGTCTGGCTTCAAAAGTCGAATATTTTGGTTGTATTATACATTGATTGTTGAGTGTTGGTATTAGTAGTTTATAATTGCTTGTATTTTCCGCGGTTGTCACGATAACGGTGAATGATATATTCATTCGTTGGTTTATGTATTTTGCTTTGATTTGTTCACATGATGTACTTTGTTCATCCCTCTGTTTTTCGCTACAGTTATATCATGCCCGTGAAATGCCCTCTAAATTTGGTGCGAAATCACTGGTACGAAACAACTTAAAATACAGGGATGACAAGAAAATCTTTCACAACCAACCTCTTACCGTCGAAAAATATTGTAAGCTGTTATTTAATCATATAATTACGTGTACAGATACAAATACAGGGATGACAAGAAAATCTGTTGTGTTACAAGAAAGTACACAATCAATCAACATCCAAAAACTGGATGATATACCAAATATTAATCCAACAATGAAATCTCCACAGCTAGTAAGGCCAAATACTACCGCCGCCTGGCTTTTTTACGAGAATCTGATTGTATTCCGGCCTTGATGTCTGCAGTTTACACATTCAAATGTTAAGATCTAAAACATTTAACCATTTAAATTGAACATTTACCAAGCCCTCTTAGAAGTTATAATATCATTCAGAAGATACTAAATGCAGGTTATTAGCCAAAAAGAAAAGGATACGAAAAGCATGTTGAAACAGAAAAATAAATCCTTAACGCTATTTTTGGGTGAGGGATTGCCAAGTTCCCAAGGATTGAGACCAAGTAAGCAAGAAATGGATCACAGAAAGTTGGTAGGAGAGACAAGGAATGCACTCCAAGATCAGTACATAGGTACATAACAAGGATTTGCAAGTGACACTTTCCACGTAGGGATTTCAAATGCCTCTCACATGCCTTTGTAATGGTCATGGAGCGTTTTTTGTAATGCCGTCATCCCTCCTATTCAACTTTCTTGATCAATTAATAACTTCCCATCAATCCCTTGGAACTTGGAAGTCCCTTGACCCGAAAATCGCCTAATGTGAATCTTTATATCAACAAATCATAATATTGTTGGTATGTGATAGTCTTTATCATAGGTTTCTCACCCCAAATTTATTTAAAACTACTCTAGCAGCTTAATCATCATCCATTGCTGAAATTAAGGATTAATCGTCATCCGTTGCTGAAAATAAGGATCATTACGCCCCATCCGAATGTTTTTCTTTTGTACAAACATGGCACTGAATTTTAAATTTCTAGAAAGAGGTGATTAGCGTAAACAATCATAGACTTAGCATGAATAGAAAAAAGAAAAAAAAAAAAAAAACCACTCACAATGGAATCAATAGGGTTGGCCAATCAGTGGTAGGGCAATTGGAGGTTTCTTTCCATAGTTCTTATTTAGCCTTTCAATTTGTTATGAAGCTTCTATGCAATGGGATGTTCGGGCCTTAAATGCATCCTTGGTTTCAGATTAATGCAATGAAATTGGCATATACTGATAATTAGTTCCATCTTTGGAGGGTCTTTCTTTCTACTTGTTAACTAATGGAAGTAGAAGGCATTTTGCGCCACAACGTGAAGGTAAATGAGTATGTTGTGTGAACTTCGGAATGGTGAATTCTTCTCTGCGTTTTGTTTACTCCTATTTAACTGCAATGATTCTATGACCGAATCAGATTTTGGCTAAGCAGTATTAGGTACAGGTTTCGACAGGTTGACCAGGGTATTTTGCTTTGACTATGCACTTGCAATTAACTTTTGGCACTAAACCAAAACCATTTTGTGGTACTTTCTTTTACTACTTAGCTTCCTAGAAATGCATAAACCTTAGATTCCTTTCTTACTTATGTTAAACCTTCATTTCAGCTACATTCATGAGAGGCTTGCTATTTCTAAATTACAAAACCCTCATATAACAGACCGCGACTACAATCTCTTCAAACAAGAGTGCTGGGGGTCAAAAGATTGATTCGGGGTGAAGTCCTGCAGAAATAAGCAAGTGTCAGTGTCGGTATATACATATATATCTGTGTGTGTGTATATATATATAGATATATATATATAAGGTAAGGCAAGTGTCAGTGTCGGTGTATATATATATGTATGCGTGTGCAAGTGTCAGTGTCTGTGTAAGGCAAGTGTCAGTGTCTGTGTATATATATAGGGTAAGGCAAGTGTCAGTGTCGGTGTATATATATATGTATGCGTGTGCAAGTGTCAGTGTCTGTATATATATATATATATATGTATGTATATATATATATGTATGTATGTATGTATGTATGTATGCGTGTGTGTCTGTATAAAAGCTGATTGGTGGGCAGACTAGGCGTTTGGCAAGGGAGACGCGCTTTTAGAGCAGTTCCACCGGAGGTGGATTTGCCCAGCACCCAGCCAAAAAATCAGGCTGGCACCTGTCAATTCACTCCAGCCCGCCCAATTGCCTGGCACCCAACCCAAGCCAGGCAACAGACCAGCTCATTCTTGACAGACCCAGAGACCGGCCCATCTGACGCCAGCGTGACATCGACGCCCTCTCCGACGCCGGTGGGGATGGCCAATTTGTAGGATTCAGAGCAAAGCAGATCCAACTAAACTAGTCACATATGATTTCACCAACAAAAACTCAACCAATGCTCATCTGGGTTTCTAATATAATCCGATTAATGAACCATGGGATTGGATTAATCCCAGAAACCAATAAAACCTGCAGATCTATTTACTTTATCACTATCCTCTGTTTCTTAAATAAATCACAAAGTTTAAGTCTTTCAGATCTATCGCAAAAACCCATTAAATTTAAGCAGAGAGGAAACCGAAAACTAAAAACAACAGATCGTATTCATCAGTTTTCCTGCAATTTCTGAGCATCCAAACCGTGAGAGAAGATGGGAATGTAATGAAAGAAGCCGATATGGGGGCTTACTTTGTCAAGAATTCTTCGTCGACGACGGCAGAGATGTCGAGAAGAGGATTGCCCATCCCCAGGAGGATCTGCTCGTGCGCCACTGATGAAATTTCCTAGGAGTTTTGAGAGTTGTTTTCAGAGGGAGGGAGGGAGGTCGGCTAAGTACAAAGTGAGTGAGATCGCGGACGAAACTATTTATAGCAGAGGAGTTCGCTTGGTGAAATAATATAATATTAGATAGGCTGGGTGCCAGCGTATTTTTAGGGGTGGAGATGCTTTGGTCTATTACTGTTCACTTGAGTGGATAAATGCGCTGGATGCTGGCACAAAGTCTTTAGGGGTGGACTTGCTCTTAGACTTCTGTGCTGCAGCTGCTGCTTTTGTCAGTTCGACAAGATGGGGTAGAGGTTTATATAATAGATATATATATGTGGAGGCAGATTATCTGTACTCTTATTTTTTGTGCCTCCTATTTGTATGGTTATGGTTAAGCCACGTCAACATTTTATATTACTATTCCTTTTTGTCTTATCATCTATATAAAAAAATAATATAAAATGTTAACGTGGCTTAACGGTGACCACACAAAACAGGAGGGCATGGGAAGTGGGAGGGCAAAGAATCTGCTTCCCATATATGTATAGCCTGTCAGACAACCTTCTTAGTCAAGTTTCGTCAGTCAATGTTCGTAAGATGTCAGTCCACTTTCGCAAACTACAGCAAGATGTCAGCCCTCGTTCGTAAATCATGTTAGTCCATTTTCGTAATATGTCAGTCTTTATTCATAAATCTTCATTCGTAAATCATATGTCGGTTCTCGTTTGTAAATCACGGGTTTTGTAAATGTAAATCATATGTCAATCCTCGTTTGTAAATCATATGTCAGTCATTGTTCGTAAATCATATGTCAGTCCTCGTTCGTATATCATAATCAGTCCTCATTCGTAAATCATGTGTCGGTCGTTCGCAAATCATAAGATGCTAGTCCTCACTCGTAAATTTTGCAAAGATATGACATGGGTTGAGCTTCTGTAAGTTAGGCGAACGAAACGAGGGCTTTGGTAAATTTACCTTCAGTAAATTTATTCTTAGAAAAAGTAACTTCCACAAATTAGGCCTTAGCAAGAAGTGCTTAAAGTTTTTGCTTGGCTTAAAGAGTATAGTTTCAAAGTGTCATGTGATCGAAAAAAATTAGTTTTCCCCTATTTTACATATGTAAAAAAGGGGAAAAGGGGGCATTGTGGGAGGATAAGATCCGGTTTTGACTCGTGGGCCAATACCAATCACCCAGAGATGGTGTTGTGCAAGATAAATTGTGAGGAAAGCCTACAAGGAGTATATAGACGCACATGTCTAGATAACTGCCTCCACTACAGAAGACCATTGAGTGGGAAAGGAAGTAACTGCCTCCACTACGGAAGACCATTGAGGAAGTGGGAAAAGAAGACATGACGTGGTACTTGTTCCTGAAGTATGAAGTTATATTACGAAGGACCACTAAGGAAGTGGGAGAGGAAGATAGGTCGTGGTATTTGTTCGCTAAGAATGCAATCCTATAAATAAGGCTTTGTAATAAGCTTTCCCATAGAACATGTGTGACATGTGATTCCTTGAATCGAACCTAAACTTCAGGTTAGTGGATGCCCGTGTGATGATTTAAGGATACGGTGCATCACTATTCATCCAGGATGTCTCAAACGATCATGCCAAAGTGTAATTTCATATGCGGTCCCAGATGTAAAGCCGGCCACATAGTGGCTCTCTATGAGGCGTATGGTCATAGTATACAGACCACTCAGGATACGCTCTATCTTCTCTAAAATACACTTATGGCCATATTCTTAGGAAGTTATGCACATAAATTCAACTCCATTTTCGATATGGTTTTTAACGTGGTAATTATTATCTCTAATGTCCTTAAAGCTCAACAACGTTCTTCCGGAATGTGGAGAATAGAGTGTCTCATCAATGGTCAAAATTGTACCATCGGACAACATTATACGTGTCTTACCGTATCATTCGATCAGGTTGGATGGGCTTAAGAAGGTTGTTAGAGGTGCATTTTTAGGTATGAAGTTAGTGAAATAGATGCATTCACATAAAACGGTATGCTTGGTTGCACTATTTGCTAGACAACTAACTCCCCACTAGTCATACCTAGAATGAAAAATTAATTTGAATCGGTCACATGCATAAAAGTTCTAAAAACAAATATCCATTCAAAATAATTTAAGTATTCAATGACGGAAATTAATTAAAACTTAATATCCAAAAACAAATCACCAACAAACAATCCAAATACAAAGGAAAATTGTTCAAAATTAACCAAAAAAACAAGAGGGGTTCGGCCCCATTGTCTTATTTCAACTAAAAAATAAGTCTATGTCTAAGATTTTAATCTTCCATAGGTGTAATAGCCTCTTGAAAGTCAGAAACCTTCGTATTCGAACTCTCCAGTTCGTCCACTTGCATAAAGTTTGATTCAAACTTCTTACAACGAGAATGATATTCAGTTACAACCTTCTGGGGATCTCGGCAAACACGGGAACAATGGTCCTTTGAACCACAGTAATATCACATATCTGCATCCATGGTTTCAGGTGTTTTGCTTGTATTCTTGAAGTTTGGGGCATTGGGAGGAAGATTAAGGTGTTTTTGGGCTTTGTTTCCTCCCTTAGATGGGCATTGGCTCTGTTGACCTTGACGGGATGGCTTTTGGCCGTCCCTACCATGCCTCTTTTGGTGTTTTGGGCATTGATTTGTGCTATAGTGTGTTTCAGGCACGACAGTCGCCCTAGTAGGTCGAGCTTGATGATTCTTCATCAAAAGTTGATTATGTTTTTCAGCAAGAAGTAAAACAGAGATTAAACTCAAAAACTTAGTGAACTTTTGAGCTCTATATTGTTGCTGTAGGATAATATTAGTAGCAGAGAATGTCGAATAATTCTTCTCTAAAAGATCCTAAAGTTTTGTTACAAAACTTAAGAAGTGATCGGATTCGACAAACTTCATAATTATATTCATTCACAGACTTAAAGTCTTGGAAGAGTAAATGCTAACGATTAACCAAAGCGACCCATAGTGCTCGTTTATCTTCCTTAGCAAGATATTCAGTTTGCAAGGTGTCATGAATATGTCTTCGGATGAAGATCATAGAAATGGCTTTCTTAGCTTCGCCAATAGGGTTGTTCATCTCATTTTCAATGGTGGGATGCAAATTCTTTGCAGTAAGGTGGAGCTTCACATCTTTGACCCACTTGAGGTAATTCCTTCTAGAGACCTCCAAAGCACTGACGTCGAGTTTGTTCAAATTTGACATATTTCTATCACAAAATAGATGGACAAGATGTGGTTAGTGCAATGGAGAAAAAAATCAATCCATTCATATAGGAGTAGAACATTCAGATTCTAATAGACATGTATTGGTTAAAATTTGCAATCTTGAAAGAGATCTGCAATTTTGAAAAAAAAAATCTCATCATTATTCCTACAAATAGGAGTACATGCATGAAAAAAAATTATTCTTAAATAAAGAATCCAGAACCATCCAATTATAATCCCAAGTAAAACACAAAGAAATCCAAGTAACCATCCCAAATGACAAATCAAAATAATAAACTCAAGTTCGAAGATATCTTAGACTATATTGTCTACCACGAAATATAAAACTTTGCAAACTAAATGCATCACATGACACTTAATTTTCAGCTTGCTCGTAGTTAAGCCATTGAAACTTGATGTTCGGATCTTCTATAGTTAAGAACATTTCTCTCTTCTCCTGTTTTAGAAATAATCGAGTTGCAAATAACAACAAAGGGCTCCCAGGCCCTGCACCAGGTAAAGATGAAACTATCTTCATCACTTCAGCAATGCTACTATTTTGTAAGCCCTTGGCCATGTTTGAAGCTGTTGTATTTCTACTCTCAATTGCATCAACCATACGATCAATTTGTTCTGACAACTTAGCAGCACCTCCCAATTTCCCCTTCTTTGCAACAACTCCTTTTTCCTTATTCTCTTTCTTAACTTGTGTATCAAATTGTCGAGTTCTTTTTTTTCTTCTTCCCCAAATACTTCTCATTAGCTTGAGTATTTTTGAGTGGGATAACATCATCAAAATCACTACTTTCAATTTGAATGCCATCATCCTCATCAGATTCATCATTATTTTCACATGGAAGTACACCAGACGAGGGTGCCCAAGCATGTTCACCAGTAGCAGTGGTATTCATGAACATCCTATCTAGCTTATCTTCCATATCAGGGCTAATTCTTTTTCTACGCAGACTTTTATATTTTTTGTTGATCTGCAATTTAAAGAAACAAGTATTAAAATGCATTCATGCAAAATAATAGACAGACAACATCTAAAAACCAACAAGAAGCTTACAAACCTGAATTTTATTATGCCACCACTCATCCGAAGCATCAATGGTGTTGAGCTTGGGATTCCATCCTAGACCAGTTTCTTTTCCCTTTAGTTCTTTCCATAATTTCCATTGCTCCTTAAGTGCATCCCACTTATTTTTCAGCTGTTGTTTACTATACTCAGCTCCAGTCTCTTTATTTAGGTTAATACTCACATTTTCCCATCCCTCTTTTTTAAAGTGGGTACCAGGACGATTTCCTGCCTCCACTTCCTTGACACACACGTTACAAAATAGTGATGTATTGTGAGCATTCCATACAGCCGGCGATTGGGATCCACTTGCCCCATTACTTTCCTTCTTAACCATCTGTGTATAATATATATGTATTGATACACACTCAAGAATTTTAGCACATATTTTTTATATATACAGAAAGAACAGATCAATTAATCAAGTGAATTTGTTACTATAAACAACTAAAGTGCAATGTCAAGAAATCACATGATTGTTGCTCTGCATGCATAGATAAAAAAATGACCAGGTTTGCATCAAGAAAATATAAGATAAACATGCCAATTCAAACATGACTAAGAACAACTCTAACAAAAATTCAACTACTCTAGTAAAAATTTGATTGAATTCAATTTACATGAGCATTTAGGTGATAATAGCATAACAATTCCCAGGCCATGAGCCCCTAAATAGAAGTAATCATAGGGAAAAAGATTACTTGAAAGTTTAAACAAGAGCAATGTAATCCAAAACTAATAAATTAAGATGAAGAACTCCGTCAAAATCAATCGATCAAGATTATCAAATACATCAGTCAGTTATAGAACACATCACCACAAAAAAGAAAAAAAATCATACACCAAAGATAAAGAAAAATAAATACTTTAATATGAAAACCATATAATTGAAAGCTTAATTTTGTACCTTTAAGCAATCAATAGTTCGTGGAGCAACAAGGAGAAGTTATGAGAAAGATGGAAGTATAAAGGTGAGGTTATGCAGAGACGTGCATAAATATATAGCTAGGGTATCAATTAGATTAGGGTATAATTTTAGCGCTTAAAATTCAGGGATAGATTAGGTCATTTTGAAAAATTAAAGGGGGGTATTCTAGGCCTAGATTTTTTTCATTAAACCTCTATGTTTTTTTGATTATTTGCTTAAAAAATAAATGACTTTAAAAAACAACCTAATTGGTGCTTTTAAAGCTGGTCTTTTTAGGCCAAGACTTTAAAAATAAGCAGGCCTCTGAATACTTACCAAACAGGTTTTGGGTGCTTCACTTTAAAGTGAAGCTGTTTTTTGGTGAAAAAAGCAATCCCAAACGGGGCCTAACTCTCCACACTTGAGATTGCATGAGCTGTTGAGTTGTGGGAAACAATGATCTGAATTTATAGTGTCCAACTTCAATTTTACGTAACACTCAATGCCACGCGCGTTTTAATTTCTAAATTGATATATATAATTATTAAATCTTTTATTTTTTTATTTTTTATTTTTGCATCTTTTAGTGTCTACCAAGCTACTACTATTGAAAATATTATTAACTTTTTTTATTATTTTATAAATGATGAGATATTGTTTTATTCATAACTTTTTTGTTTGTACAGAACATGTTATCTACCTTAAAGAGTGAGAGTAGACTAAGTTTCACACTAAACTAATTATTGTAAAATGATTCAAATTCGTCTTTGTAAAAACATAGACGGTAGTTTAAATTGGCGTATTCACGACTTAAACATACTAAAGGATATCGAATATTCGAAATCCAGAAAAACCGAAAACAAAAAAGTTTGGAAAAAAAAAACTGAAAAATAACGCAACGTTGCTGTTTGGATCAAAACTTGAACTTTGGGCTCAAGAAAGGAGTTGGCCCAAATGGAGGCCCGAAGGGAAAGTCAGTCGAAGCCCAGTCAAAACCCAGAAAGCAGAAAGGGCCTTTTCTGACTTGGTGCAGCTCATAAAGACCACTTGCTTACCTACCCAAAGGCCAAGTGGTATAGACTGACCAGCTACACAGCCCATAAAGTACTTTATGATGGCAGTACATGTAAAATAGCTAATGAGTCATCACCCTTCAAACCGCATTCGGGAAAGGTTGCTGCTACAGGAGACCAAACCGAGTTGTCTATATAAGAAGAAAGAGAAACCAGGAATAAGGACACTCAATCAAACAAACAAATGCAAGCATAAACTCTGCTCAAAGCCAGATTTGCCTTCAAAACGAAGCTGTAGTCAGCCCAAGCCTTCATCCCTCGCGGGATAAACCTTCACTCCAAACCCTTGTAATAGCTCTGCTACCTTGTTCAACCTTGCTGTAGTATCGATTCATCTTTTGTAAATCTCTCTCCCTCTCTGAAGCTTTCAGACCCTTGATAAACTACAAAGATAGGAACCTGCAAGATGATCAGGCTTGCCCGACAAGGTTAAACCTTGCCCGTCCTTCTTTGATTTCTTTGTCTTTTCATTCATTAGCCTAGCAATATGTTGTATACTTCCAGTTATATTCAAGTTATTTCTAGCAAGATGACTATTAAAAAGCTTTCCCAGTACTTGGATCCGATTTGAATATATCTTCAGTGTTCAAACCAGATCCAAGTCCTAAGCCCTCGGGCATGTAAATCTGATTAGTTAAAAGTCATTGGCCTCAAGGCATAAAAAAGAATCTTATGTGGACTTAACCCATCCACGACAATCCTTGATAAACGAGAAGTCCGAAGTTACTTGGGGCGCAAGTAATCGACCTACCTCTTAGTTTTATTTCTATTACATTATGATTATCATAGAACGCTTAAGCATGGGAAGGATTCTGATAGGAAGCCTCAAGGCCTACACCTAAGGCCCCACGAAGGCACCTATTTGGATTCATTCCGTTCTGCGGTCTAGAACGTTTGAGTATAAGAACGAACTCTAATAGGAAGCCTCAAGGCCTACATCTAAGGCCCTACAAAGGCACCTATTTGGGTTCATTCTACCTCTCGAACTTGGGTAATTAGAAGTATAATAGTTATAAGACTCATGCATTCACGAGAACAAATATGATGTGTTCGAGCACTGGTTTAGTCATTGATAGGAAGCCTCAAGGCCTACACCTAAGGCCCCACAAAGGCACCTGTTATAACTAACACGGTTTCTCGGGTATATACATGTACAACCAAAACTCGACATCCATTTCATATTTGCCATACTGAAGATGGTAGTGGCACGCCTGAGCACTTAAAAGTTAACCTTGATTGTGAGCCTCAAGGCCTACACCTAAGGCCCCATAAAGGCACCTCTCAAAGTTAACTATGTCCTTCTCTTTTAGCCTTGCCCGACGAGACTTGCCCTACGAGACTTGCCCGACAAAGCCCGACAGTGAAGCAGAAGCCCGACAGCAGCCCTCAACCAGCGCTAACCTCCCAGGGAGCTGTGTGCTCGTCGGCCAGGAAACATCCTCGACGGAAATTCCTGACGCGAACATAGTTTTGGCACGCCCGGTGGGACTATACACTTTGTGATCTTGCCCGGTAGAGGGTTTCTCTCACCCTTTTTTCCTACGAATGGCGGATCAATCAGGAGATCCTTTTTCCCCATCAGGACAAGTGGTCCTAGAAAGCCTAACCGCATCTGAGAGATCGGAAGGAAAGGGAACTAGTGCAGAACTACAAGCTACTATGATCCAAGTACTGAAAAACATGGAAAGAATCGCTTTGGAAACCAAGGGAGAAGTGAGTAGGCTCTGTACATTAACAGGGAATCTACAAAGAAGACTTGATCTAGAGTTTTCTACTCCAAAAGGGGCTCAGGAAAGTGGGATGAGCCAAGTCACCATGAGAAGTGAACCAATCATTCCCTTATTCCCACTATTAGAAGAAGAAAAGGATAAGGGAAAGAATAAAGTGGTTCTTGAAGGGAATCAACTTGTGATAGAGCTAGTTCTGGAAAAAGAGCCTCCCAGCTTCCCATTATTATCTTTTAATAATAGGAGGCAGAGCGAGCAAGAGAGAATGAAGCATGGAATGCCTATAATGATAGGGGAGACTAGCAGAAAGGAGGGCACCACTACTTCAGATAAACCTCCACCTTACAGGCCACCCCCGTTGGCTAGTAAGGGAGTGGGAACTAACTGGAGGAAGCCCGAACCAAGGAGAGAAGCAGGCACGGGCAACGATCGGATCCCAAAGATCGACACTGCTCTCATCGGTCATGATGATAATTCAGCTACTCAGCAGCTGAGGGAAGAATTGGCTGAGCTAAGAAGGACAGTAGCTCAAAATGCTCAGCCGCGGGCTCGCCTAGTGTTCAGGGTCACTTACCAAAAGCCTTATCCTGAATATATTGATGAGCTCAATCCATTCCCTCTCAACTTCAAGATGCCTGCATTCCCAACGTTCACAGGTGAAGACAGTAGCGTGTCCTCCAGAGACCACATTTTCAAATTCTCCAATCATTGTGTGGCATATGAGGGCAACCCAAATTATAAATTGAGATTGTTTGGGAATTCATTGGCGGGTTTAGCATCTCAGTGGTACTCTCTATTACCCCCTAATTCTATTGCCAACTGGGGGCAAATGGAGATGGCTTTCCATGAACAGTTTTACAGAATAGAGCCAGAATTGACTATCAATGACCTTGTTGAAGTCAAACAATACGATCATGAATCTACTGAGGACTTCATGAGGTTCAGGAAAACAAGGATGAGATGCCAATTCCCCGTCAACCAAGCGCAACTCATATCAATTGCTCAAAGGGCTCTAAAATTACCTTTGAGGAAGAGGTTTTATGATACACAATTCAACGAGCTGCAAGAATTGGTAATTGCTGCTACTAAGTATGAGAGGCTGTTACAAGAAGAGCAACAAGTGAAGCACACTTCCAAGGTCCCTCCCTTCTACAAAAACAAAGCTGCAATTCATCGGGTGGAAATGGGAGAAACCAGGCCAGAGCGTGAGGATGGCCATGATGAAGAAAACATAGATGTATGTGCCGCTGAAATGACTACACCTTTCAAACCACTGACGGTAAAGGGGCTAGTCCAACCTGTCAAAGATCAGAAGGTCGTAATGAACGATGGTGGTTTCGTCCCCATGAAACCACCCAAGTACCAAAGTTATTCTTTCGATTTGGCCAAGGCACCTGAGATCTATGAAGAACTGGTACGGGCAAGAGTAATTTTGCCCGACAATACCAAAAAGATGCCCAAACCAGAAGAACTTAGGGGGAAAAAGTATTGTAAGGTGCACTATACCTTCAACCATTCCATAGTTAATTGTGTCCAGTTTAGAGATTGGATACAAGATCTTATAGTGAAGGGAAAGCTGTTACTTGACTCGCCCCAAGCCAGTATGATGGTGGATACTAACCCTTTCCCT